TGCTTTTCAGACCTTCTTTGTAAAAGGCACTAGCTAATTCTCAGCACGTCTCACTGTGCCCTGAGTGAAGCAGCCGCGGTGGGAAACTCTCACTTCCCCCGTTCCCCGTGCCGCGTCGTGATGCTGGTCGTGGGTGCAGTGTGTGGCACAGCGGGTTAGGATGCTGTGTCTGTGATCGCATCTCTGGGTTGGCATAGTGATTTCGCCGTTGGGCACCTCGGCGAGACCGTTAATCCCTCGTTGCTCTGGGGTCCGTTTGACCCGGCTTTCTCAAAAAAATGTTTAGCTTTGGCTAAAACCGTCTGCTAAAATAAATAAAATGTGTGCTGCCCAGGGCCTTGTACTGTGGCCGTCTGTGCCCTGCTGTTTGAAGGTGCCCGGATGTGATTCTCCTAGCAGACAGGATAATCCTACCAGAAACCTACGGCACGTCTCACTTGACGGATGCTCCTATCAGTCCGGAGCCGGCTGCTGTCTGCCGCATCTGTCAGCACCTGCAGACTCACCTCAACATGGCGGCAGATTTCCCCCACCCCGGCTCTGCTGCAGATTCACGCTGAAAGGGATGGAAGCAGGGGGCGATTCTAGGATTTTAATGTGGGAGGCATAAGAGGGACCATTAGCCAATGATATGTTTTGAATATCGGTGAGTGATGGGAGGGGCCACTCCTGAAGGCCAGTTGGCTTTCAGCTGGGGCCAGTGCCCCTATGGCCCCTCCCCTCAATTGAATTCTTTCTTTTTCCACCTGCTTGCCGTGACTCACATCTTCATTCCCCTCCCCAGCGAAACTGTTTGCTATCATCTCAGAACGGCAGCTTCTCTGTGACGCCAGTTAAGCTGTGACCACACCCCTGGTTTTATTTCACTGGAGCACAGTGTTGTTCACTGCCGAGGCAGTTGGTTTGCCCTCCCCCCATTTTTGAAATTGTAAACAAATTTTAAACAATTAAAAATTTCAAAATATCAGTCAGTATTTGGGCCAGTACAGGCACAACTGGGCATTCTGCTGTCTAGTATGGAACTCCAGAAGGGTCATAAATGCCTCGACTGACACGTTGTCTTAAGCGCACATGCAAAAATGTGCCAAACATGCGTACTTTTCATCTTAAGTATGTGGAAATTACGTGGCGTCAAGGTGCTTTTACCGTGTCAAGAACGACAGGTCAATTGTAAATTAAGTATGATGAGTTGTTTACTAAATGACAGATAATTTACATAGAAGAGAATATAAGTGACTGAATCTTTACATAATCTTTTCATGACTATTCATTCCTGAATTATAATGTGTACGTGTGTTTGCTTAATGTCCTGATGCCGTCAGGTGTGAAGCGTCTGAGGTTGATATTTAGTCGCTAGGAGGGAGTATGCGCTTGTTTTCCAGCTCACAGCAGGGGGCGCTCTGACACGAGCAGCACGGCAGTTCAGTACTAGCGGTGGGGGGGGGGACTGAGCTGTCAGTGGCTCAGCAGGGGGAGCCGTGACAGCGTAGCATCTCACCTGCTTCCTCCCCGCCCGTCGCGGTACGAGTCGGTTTCGGAAACAGGCGGCAGTGAGCGGGAAAGTTGAAGCTCGGGAAGTAGCGGCGGCTCGTGGTTCTCCACCAGGTGGCTTCAGATGGTCTGGAAGGCTGTTATGTCTTCTGAGGACTTCCAGATCTTTCCGTGGATGTGCCGGGCCGCTACATTCTGTTCCTCGCGCTGACTGTACAGGCGGCTCTCGAGCGCCGTTGGCTCTCGGTACGGTCTAGCCGTCACCAGGGACGTGATCTGGTGCTGCGGTAGCCAGAGCTGTTTGGCGTGATTGAGAGGTAATAATTCTTTGGCCACAGGCCCCAGGGGGCGCCGACTGCGTTGGCGGGGAAGGGTGGATGGGTGGGGTGGGGGGAGGCTGGAAAGATTGATTTGCCGCATATCTATTGAGCCAGGTAACAGCCGGCTGATGGCACATTTGTCAGCCCGGTTGCCCCGGGAAACGGGGGGAGGCCAGTGGGGAGTATTTGAAAACCGCGGGCTGGAAGGATCTAGAGTGGCGGTTTAGTGGCGCGTTCGGGTTCCTGCGGACGCCCAGCCGGCGCGGCAGCCGCGGGGTTCAGGCTACCCGCGGCCCCCCCCCGGAACCGGACCAGCCTAATTACCGTTCAGAGCCATTTGTGCTTTTGGCATCTCCGTGTCATTCTGTATTACCCCCACCCCGGTGGCAGGGGGCACCAGAGACATTAAGAAATACGCTTCGGTACCTCAAATCTCCATAAAAATCCACCGTTGTGCATGTAAAAAAGTGGGTTTAGTAAATATCCAGCAGAACTAAAAGGCTTTGTCTCTATTTCTCCCCGGCAAGGGTGGACACACAAGGAGCATTTATATTCTGTAGTTTTACGGTGAATAACAGCCCTCCCTGTAACGTGCTGGGAGCATAGCTCCCTGAGAATGAGCTTCAAGGTGACGTTTCATTAGTCAGGGGACAAACGAGGCTTTGGGGCCGGTGGTGGGCGGGGCCTACTCATTTTAGTGTGATTTGTGGGCGGAGCCTCTGTTTTAGTTGGGTTTGTGGGTGGGGCCACTTCTTTTATACAAGGTTTGTGGGCGGCTGTCAGTGTTGACGTGTTACATCGCTGTGAAATAACAAGCCATTTCTCACAGCCGGCTGGTTTGGGGAGGGTTGGTAACCGTGGTGAAGTTTTGGGGGCGGGGGGGCAGACAAGAGTAGGGGAAGCAGACCGCAATTAATTAAAGAAGATTTCGATCACTTCAAGGAGAACGGACTATCCTCGGACTTTGGGCATTGAGAAGACAAATCTGACTCACCTTAACCAATTGCCTCATCAGTAGTCTGTGAGGTTTTTATACCTGGTTAGCTATCGACCTCCATTGATACCGCTGACCCACAGGCTAACAAGCTAGCGGCTGGTAGACTGACTATTTATATTTTTCTCCATGTTACACTTACAGTAATGAACTGGAAGGAGCAGCGCTTGCGAGTGTCGAATAGAAAACCAAGGCGTTGGTGCAAATGAGTAAAAATCTGATTATCTGGCTGGCTGACTGATCCTTATGATGCCTCTTTTCTAACTGACTGTAAGATAAGAGAAAAGATAAAAAAGGCTCTGTTGTCATCGTACTTCCATATGATGAAATTTCGTCAACGTCTCTTCCTTTCGCAGCCCTAGTGAAGACCATAAACTGTATAAAAATGAAGATATAGACACAGGAAAGGATAAAGAAGTTAAGCAGAGGATTCTATAAATACGCAGTGAAATAAGTTACAAGTTGTGCTATTTGCACCTGTATTTACAATTTAACCATTTACAATATTTCCTGGAAAGCGATATGTTGGTCTGTTTGTGTCGGGGGGGGAAATAGACACGTACCAAGATGGTGGCACCTGTAGAGGCGCGGCTTGTCTGTAATGACTGTAAATGACTGTAGATCGCAGTGCTTACCTTTCCCTCTGCTTCACGTTGGGTAGCCCACAGAATCCAGACCAAGATTTTGTTTCTACCACCCGGTTGAGTTCTCTGTGACTGTGAGTCTTTATGCTCAACTGGTTGGCAAAAACAAAATCTTGGTCTGGATTTTTACTTTCTGGACCTGAACTGCCCAGCACTGCTCCTCTGCGCCTGCTTGTCCTGGCGGCCGCTGTGGCCTGCCTCCCCATTGGCTTACTGTTGGCTCAGGAGCCTGTCTCTGATTGGAGGATATGTGCTCTAGTCACACGCATCGCTTTCTACATTGCATGACTAGCTTTGGGGACATGGTGCATAGCGTGTGGAAGGCGTGTGAAAGGAGGATCATTCATGTAAAACAACATGCTTTCAAGGGCTTTTTTCTGCCCTGTGCAATCTGATGTCAATTTATTTATAATGTAATCTTATTCGATGAGCATAACATTTAATTTGGGCGAGATTTAGCATTGATCTCACCCTTGAAGGGGCTCACTGGGGGACCTGCCCTGAACTGGCTACACTCCGTGTTTAATTTTAACCACCCCTCCCCCCCCCCAAGTGAGTGGTTTTGTGACTCTTGGGCAGTAGGTCGCGTTGTAATGAACCGGACCTTTAATCCAGAGCAGGATTGTGGGCCAAAGGATATCTGAACTTTTTCCATAATAAAGAGCCCATTCCGTAATGAAGACCGAAGCATTCAAAGAGAGCAGCTGCTCTGATCGTCTCTCACTTTAACCTATTAGTGGATTTTAATGCTGGACTTTCATATATTAATTCCTCTTTAAAAACGGTAATGTTGAAGGAACATTCCTCTTTGTCAGAGGACATCAGACGTGACCCAGTCGGTCTGTAGCCGATCTCCCACGCTCCTGCATCTCTGAAGCTCTAATTGACGGTTGTGTCACACTCGCCAGCCCTGATGGGGAGGGCAGCGGGCTTTTTACGCTGCAGGCCTGGCCTGAGGGTGATTCACTGTGTGCCCTCCCCCCCCTCGCACACACTCACACGCGCACATGCCACATTCCGGACGCTCGCTGATGGTGACAGCTCCCAGCTTCTCTATGGGTAGCGGCAGCTATATGTCAGCTTTGACACCAGGGGGCGCACTGGTCACTGACCCACAAGGGGAGGGCGAGGAGACAATCTGCTCTGGTCAAACTGTCACTGGGCCCTGGCGCTCTCGAGCCGCACTGCTGTGTTTCACCACTGTTGAAGCTCCGCCTTTTCCATCTGCTGATGCTCCGCCTTTTCCCTCTGCTGAGGCTCCGCCTTTTCCCTCTGCTGAGGCTCCGCCTTTTCCCTCTGCTGAGGCTCCGCCTTTTCCCTCTGATGCCTCGATGCTCCACGCCGCTTCCTTTTCATTTCCATCTGCTTTTTTATTTATTACTTTTAACCAAATCCTGACTGTCTCTTCCTCCACCTGCCAGACAGACGTGGCACCTCGATGGGTTGACCCTCCCCCCCCCCTATTCCGGTGGCGGGGGGGGATTCTCAAACCATGCACAGTGCACATGGCCGCCACAGTGTGATTAACTGTATGCCTGTTTTCCTTTCCAGCTGATGCTGCGGCCTGTTTCCAGAAGCAAGGTAACCCCAAAAGGGTCGATTTGTTTGAAGCCTCAGTCCCGCACCCGTCCAACCCCCCCTATATGTCGCATGGTTATTGGACAGGGAGATTCTTAACAGTCCCTCCCCACCCCATCTTCAAGGCTGACCATAAGGGGGGAGGAAAGGGATGTATTTTAGGGCCCAAACACTAGAGGGAGCCCAAGAGAGCTTAGCATGAAGATAACCACAGAATCAAAAGTTTGTTAAAACTGTTAAAGGGGCCCTATTATGCTCTTCCGAATGTTCCATTTTCTTTAGTGTATTATATAGCCGTTTCCGCATATAAAAGTTCTGCAAAGTGTTAAAGCCCAATGTATGCACCAAAGGAGAAAACTCTCACCACAGAAACCACTCATCTCTAATCTGCCTGAAACGCCTCGTTGGAATTCCAGCCCTTACATCCGTGACATGGTGAGGTCACCTCATAACAGAATCCTTATTGGCCACCTACCTGCAAGGATCTGACTGCAGACTACAAGGCAGGCAGTATAGGGTAAGGTGACCAATCAGAGCACACTGAGCTCATCAGGGGCGGTGCTTATAGCTCTAACAGGGCATTTCAGGCACAGACATATATAGTGTAAATAGAGATATGCAGTATGAGAAAAATGGTGTGTTTTTGGAAAACTGAATGAAGCATGTAAATCTATTCAAGTAGCACCCACAAATCACATTATGAACACTGAAAATTAGCGTAATAGGGCCCCTTGACAACAGATTGAAATACACATTTACAATTTAGAATTAGAATACTTCAGGCCCATCCATTTCTTTGTGTGCCCCCCCCCCCCCCAGTCAAGTAGGTTCTGTGAAGGGGTGGGCTAAAGGCACGGCGATGGCGGGAGATGGACTCCTCAGCCCCAGAACCCCCTCTTCTCTCATGTCTGTAGCTCAGGGGTCTCAAACTCCAGTCCTGGGGGGGCGGAGCCCTACACAGTTTTTGGTTCACCCTCATTTAACACACCTGATTCAGCTCCTTGTGCTAATTACCACACAACTCTTGAGCTGAATCATTTGTGGTGGAACAGGGAAAGAACTAAGCTACACAGGGCTCCGGCCCCCCAGGACTGGAGTTTGAGACCCCTGCTGTAGCTGGTCTGCTGCTTCCCCACCTGCCTAAAAAAATACAAAAAAACATAAACCAGGTTTCTGTAGCCTCACTATTATTATTATGATATGATATTATTATTATTATTATTATTATTATTATGTACAAGCACAACATGTTTCTTTTTCACAAACTGATACCAAAGAAACTAAAGTCTAAAATTCCACCTTCCTGTGTTTTTTCCCCCCCACCCCCCACCCACGGATTCCCCCTCTCTCCAGATGCAGAGCGTGGCGGCGGTCACTTGATCTCCACGGATGACGCGGAGTACCCGCGCGAGTACCGCACGCTGGCCAATGGCACGCGGCGCTTCTCCAACGTGGGCCTGGTGCACACGTCCGAGCACCGGCACACGGTCATCGCCGCCCAGAGCCTGGAGGCCCTCGCCGGGCTGCCCAAGGGCGACATGGAGCGCAAGCGGGACGCCTTCATGGACCACCTCAAGAACAAGTACCCGCCGCAGCACCCGCCCTCGCCCTCGCCCTCCCACGGCAGCATGCGGGGGGCGCCAGACCGCATCCGCGAGCAGGTGAGCACACCCCCCCCATGTCACATCCTGCGCCGTGAAACTCCACAACCCGAAATGATTCACACTATTCCCTGGTCATTCCTCCCAGAATAATTTAAAGAATGAGGTTTTACAAACCCCACCTTAGCCAATGGCTAGTCACTATGAGCTAGCTATGGTTTTTCCCTTGATCCCCCCCCCAATATTGAAAACAGAGAGGCTGTCTAAAAGTCACAATTAATTTATTCACCCCTCCAAACTGATGCCAAGTTCCAGTGTTTATCTGGCAGGCGGGACGGTAAACTGGGTTAGCCGATAAGGTCTTTCAGAATCGGTGTATGACCTCAGGATTCACTGAATGAAGGGAGGATAAACGGAGGGGGGGGCAGCCTTCATGGGGGCTTCGTACCCGGGCTCTGCTGCCACCCCACGCCCTGCTTGACGTCTCCAGCTCCATGCAGTGCCTCTGCTCGGTGCTCCGGAGGAGGAGGAGTGGCAGCACCTCCCCTGCGCTCCTTTGGGAGCCGTGGACATTCCACATTTCGCTCCCCTGAGCAAATTTAACCTTTCGCTTTGCCGTGCACAGACTATGATTTTTATTTCTTCCTCTCCGCTTACGGTCTGTCACCCATTCATCTCTTTCTCCCTCTCTGTCTCTCTCCCTCTCACTCCCTCGCTCTGCATGGACGAGCCACCATTGTCGTACTGAAGTGCCGGGTGAGGGAGCGAGCGGGCGGGAGCAAGAGTGAGAGACAGGTGGAGTCCGTGGTTGTCACGGCAACACTTCCCTTATAAGGAGAGCCGCGATATCATATTGCAAAGGTCAGACTGGAAGGGGGAGGAATAGAACCAAAGGAGAGAGAGAGAGAGAGAGAGAGAGTGAGGGGGGAGAGAGAGAGAGAGAGAGAGCGAGAGAGAGAGAGAGAGAGGCAAACAGATGTAGAAGGAAGAGACAGTCGTGAGTCGAAGCAACAGAGAACCTGCAGCAAGGTGAAAGCACTGCGACCGGCGGAATCCAGTGTCACCGCGGCAGTGGCACTGCGCTCGGCGGGAATGGAGGGAGGAGGAGGAGGGAACGAGACCAGGGTGGGGAGGAGCCGGGACCGGATGAACCAGTCAGTTAGCTAGTTAATTAGCGACAGCGTGGTGCGCTCGCTCATCGGCAAGGGGGGATTTCTGAACGCATTTGCCGGAAGCTTCCAGCGCAGGATCGGCGCCGGCGACGCTGCGGCACGTGCGATAGGCTCGCGTGAGGAGCCGCATCCGGACGCTGGCGTAGCGGGAGGAGAGTCCATGGGGGAGTTCTGGGACATGTGGACAGAAGGTGAGACGCACCCCCATGACCCCCATAACCCAAGCTGGCATTCTGCATGCCTTTTCCCGCGTTTTCTGCTGCTACAGCTGTCTTGGGTCCCCTGGTGCAGGATCAGCTGCGGGAGGGTGGGTGAGTGAATCGGGAGATGCAGAACCGTTACAGGCGGAGAGAGAGAGAGAGAGGGAGGGAGGGAGAGGGAGGGCGGGGATTGTCGCTTGCTTGGCATGCGGGTCAGGTACCACGCTGCTCTGTCTCTCCCCGCTCTCGCCACACGCTCCCGTCCCCCAGGGG